TTTAGGATGGAACACGTCAACCTCTCTCCAAGCCCTGACTCAGTGATTGCCCCATATGCTAATTTTCCATCTTTTACAAATGCATTATTCAAAGTAGTCCAGTGCTAACTCAACCCCCTGAGGTGAGAAGGTAGAGTAAGTGGCATCTTACACTCTTCTGGAGACAGTGGCACTTAAGACACTCATATATACATCTGTTGTAATCTTTAATTTATCTTCCTTCCATTAATCCCTCCTTGTGCTCTCGCTGGAATACTTTCGTAGCTCTGCAGCCTCTTATATTTTAGAACAGTGTGCTTTAAAGCCAGGTTCATTGGTGCTCCTTCTAACATGTGCAGTTTCTCTCTATCTGGTACTCAACAAGCATTTGCATTCACACACAACGGGTACAATGTCTTCAGTGGAAAGGGTAGATGAAGGACTTTAATCACTTCCATTGACCAAATTAAAGTTAAAAAAATAATGGGGGGGCTTCACTCTTTAAAATTATGGAGTACTGGACCATGAGCTGAAAAATAAAGTATTTGAAGAATTTCTAGTTGTAAAGTGAAAATTTCATTATTCTTCTATTTTTAATCTATGTATTCAGACTCTCTGCAATATAACTCCACATTTTCCAGGAAGACTGTATTTTTAGAAGCAAGATCTGTGATTGTTGAGCACGTTTCCTGAAACTGACATCTCCCTGTAGCTAAATTTAATGTAATGATTTTCTTTTCCTTTAAAAGGTTCCCAGTCTAGGGTATTACATTTTTGTTTTAGTTTTGCACTTAAATTACAATTGACACTATCTAATCAAAACCAAACATCACTTTTTAAAAACTCAATGCTCTGTAATCACTGGTCATTAAATCAATACCTAATAGTGCTCACATTTATTCTAGAGCTATTGTCATTCCAATGCCTTGTAGTTTAGATCTGGAAGTGCTGCATGGGAAAAAAAAGGAACAATCTTGTAACACTGATTTCACTGAAGCCTGAAATGATGTTGACATTTGTTAGGAAGAATGTTCGGACGCCAGGCTAGTACTTGAGGAGTTTGATGATTTGAAGATGACTTTGGGTTCTTGGTGTTCGGGTCTAGTGTCAGCAAGAGGGAGAGAAAGATTTTCCTCTGTCAGTATCAAATTCCTTATTAAAGCCCAGAGGGAAACAGCTGTCTTTGCTGCTATGGACAAACCAGAGTGCACTACAAGCTGAAGTGTAATGCACAGCAATAATATGCAATGAAATGCTTTTTTTCCTCAAAAGAAATGTCAATAAAGTAGGATTTGTAACACGTCACAGGATCCTAAGACTTTTCAATTTGCTCTCCTTCTCTCCTGCTGACAAATGGTCCATTGCCCCATGATTCCATTGAACAAATGTGTTTTGTTTACTTTGGCTCTGTGTTGCAGAAAGATGTTTTATTACTTTATTAGAGTCCACTCAGCAAAAAAATGCATAACAGAACAATGTATTTATTTGGAATTTATTTTATGGAAAACATTTAGTGATAATGAAAACCAATGATGAAATGGGAGCGTACACAGTTTTTACAGACTTTATTAGAGGATTGAGAAAATCATAACCATGGCAAATTTGGAATAGCAAAGATGTGCGGATTAAGTGTTATACAGGACAGCCTATCTCTGTCACAGGCAGACTCTGACTGACAGCATTCAAGTTTACAAGCATTGTGGCTACTCAATCTTTCGTGTTGGGAATAAATAGCTCTAACCTTATCGGGCTGAAACAGCTGTAAAAATAACGCTCGGTAAGATAGGACAACACAGAAACTGTCTATTTTTGAAGCATTTGTAATACTTTGCTGCATGTATGTATAGTACACATGGATAGCTGGACGTATTGTGATGAGCTTACATACAAAGTACCCTACAAACGTATTCAGACCCAAGTACAGTTTTCACACTTTGTTGCTTTAAGTCATACCAGTTTGAAGTAACAATCAAAGTGTGGGATACTACAAAGATGTGGCAAAAGATTTTGTGGTCACACGAGACAAAATTGGAACTTTCTGGTCCACAGGCAAAGCGTTATATCTGATGCAAACCTAACACAGTGCATCACTCAGTCAACACCATCCCTAATGTCAAGAATGGAGGTAGTAGTATTGTTGTATGTTACTGTTCTGCTTCTCAGCAGCAGGGAATGGAAAGGTATTCAAAATAAATGGGAGTACACAATATACTGGCAAATCTTAGAAAAAACCTGCTTTGGACCTAAAACTGGGCCAAAAATTCACCTTTCAGCAGGACAATGATCACAAGGCCACATGGTCACAAGGAGAGGAGAGTAAGATTACATGGAGAGGTGTAGGAGTAAGAAACTGAATGCACTTGAATGATCCAGTCTTGAATCCTACTGATAATCTGTGGGAAGGCTTGAAAACTGTTGTCCATAAGCAATTTCAAGCACCCTGACAGAGCTTGAGCAAATGTGTCACAAAGAATGGGCAAAAATTGCACCAGGCTGCTACTGAGTTCACTTTAGTGAATGTACCATGCCTGGGAGAAATATGGTGATGAAGACTTTACCTTCAACAAACACTTAATCCACAGATTCTGTATAGGTTTTAACTTTCTATATCTGAAAATCTCACTCATCATAACATTACTGTATTTACTGGGTAATGTAAAAGGGACAGATGATAATCCTGTAAATTCAATATCTGTAATTTTCTGAAGGGAATAAAAAAGTCAAAAAGTGAAAAAAGAGTGGGATGTTACCTTCTATTGAAATTGGACTACTTGGCTGTAGCTGCAACATAGTTTTGGGCTGACAAAAGCAAGACAGGCACATTGGTTGTAGCTCAATTTTACTGCGTGCCTTGTTGTATAATTAGAAACACAGTACACAAACATTCAGTAATTAAAAAGGGAAAGATAATGACTTACAATAAACAATTCAATAATTCTGATATTTCTGTAATAAGGGAATGTCATCTACTGACATCTACTGAGGTCAACTAAAAGTTGTCAAAAATCTTAATTACACGCCACATGCATCATCACAGGCAATTAAATTCATCAGAGAAATCCTAATGCTTTTTCCGCAAGGGTGCGTCTGTACTGTATTTGAGTTGGTAAACCCTCACCAGTTACAACTGTATCAAAAAGATTTTGATTGCACCCTACATTCTCTTTTATTTACTTCCATACTGCAATTACTGTGATTTTCAATTACAGGTTTTCTGATTAGCAGAACAAAATTTTCTTGTAGGATTGCTTATGGCTGGGACAACTGTGAATGAGCCAAGATTGTATTAGTTTTCTTGTTTTCTTCTGGGTGGTTTAGATTAATCCAGAGAGATTTGTTTTTTTTCACAGAATGCTAAAGCTACAATATTATACTGTATATAGTCATTTATTTAACAAGGGCTGCCTAACAAGTTTAAAGTCTTTGTCTTTCAACAAAAGGTGCTGCAAAAAAAACTGTTAGGGGTTTCTTTATCTGATATTAAATGCAAACACACAGTGCATTCTGCAATAGTAAATAAGAATACTTAAAAATGTTTGCTGTCATTTTCTGGCCTCAAGAGGAAGTCAATCGACTGGAATTCACTTCTGGTGAAGTTTAGCTTTGTGAAATTAGACTTGCCACATACTGTAGATTTGATGCATGGGGTCTGGCTTGTAAGAGTCTCACAGCTGCAAGAAAAGCAATTATGACTGGACTGCAGAGGGCAAGGGCTTAAAATAAAAGCAAAAATGCTTATTGCTCCTACCTCACATTGTTAGCAAACAAGCATGGCTTAATCTAAAACAAACAGCAGACTCATAACAGTGAGAAGCAATCACTTAATAATCATCCAAAAATATAGTACATATTTATTATAGTCAAATGTAATTTACATTGCTGGTATTTCAACTCCTAGTGTTCTGGTGAAAACTCTATAACCACACATCACTGCAATAGAACACGCATTAAGGAGCTGTGTCTCATGAAACAACATGCTGTAATGCACCCAAAGGTTAGGGCTTTGGGCCTAGGGTGAAGTAATAATACAATAGTGTTACAGCTAAAGGCGACAAAGAAGTGTCTCTTGGAGTTTAGATAAAGTTGGTGATACTTGGCAGAGTAAACACTTCTAGCTTCAAAGCAGAGAGGATGTTTGCTGAGGTCTGCTGCTTCATGATCATCCAAACCAAACCTGACTGGAGATAAGTATTTGAACCTTGCTAGAGAAGTGTGCTATTCTGTGTTTTTAGGGAACTTTGGTTTCTTGGATAAAAAATACCTCAGTTAGAAACAGCTTTTCGTCTTATGGCGCATTTTTATGGATAGGGACATAAGCTCCCATTTATTTTTGTGGCATCCGAGGTGCAGAGAGAGAGATTTATGGTGGCATTGCATTTAGTTAGAAGGCAGCTTATCGCTTATGTGGCCTCTGTAGCTATTAAGAGCTTAATGCTTAGTAGCAGTCTGGGGTTTTTTGGGTGACCGGAATATTAGGCCTCCGAAATGTCTAATGCCAGTTTGTAAATACTGTAAATAGAGTAACCTGTGTGTTATATATTTTGTGGTGTGTAGTGTAGTTTGTCTCTTGTCATTGTAATAAATATTTTTTTGAACCAATTGTGCCTGGATTATTACTCTTTTCAACAAATATTACTAGAAATCACTTACAAGTTGGGAGTGATGAATAACTATTTCACTTACTGACTAAACTGCTCGGTCAAATCCCGATTTTGACTATTTTCGTAACCCCCCATTTGTAACGATAGGTTATTAGCTATTTAATTTCACTGACTGAAAACTGCTCTTTGGCATAGGCAGCCTCTCTGCTTGTCAGGATGCTCGGGTTGATACTTCTTCAGACAGATCAGAGACCGGCCAGACCGAAGGGTTGGAGAGCAGTGTTTTTTCTGAAAAAGGCACAGTAAGCTTGACTCTTAATTTATTCCTGCAAATAGCACTGGTCTACACTGCCTACTGTGCCCAACCTGCCATCGTGCAGGGACCCTCACTGGAAAGTTGACTCGGTCAGCTGTACTCACCTCGACTCCTCCTGATTGATGATCATGTACATTTCCCAGGAAGCGTCCTCTGCAATCGCCCCATGGGGTACCAGCAAGCTAACTCCTGAAACACACAGACATGTGGGTAAGGTGGAGGGGGGGGAGGGTCACAGAGCATTTAAAGCTGAGGAAAGGAAAACTGTGAGATGGCACATTTGTTGGAAAAGCTAATCATAAAATCTAATAATAATAATAATCTGTGGCCTTTTGCTGTGCACAGCATGTCTCTTCAGCATCATATGTGACTAAACCATATCTAGTTGTTGCTTGCAATACAGACATCTCAGTATATAGCTCAGGGATGTTCTTTGTATTAAAAAACATGAATATTTTCATAATATGATTCTTCTACTTCTAACAGTGCTACTATTTAAGATGAACTTTTTTTTGCTCGTACTATTACATACAAATAGGATGTACAATAAGAAAATCTAGCTGCTTTTTTATTGTAGCGACATCAACAGCCTAATAGGGAAGAATATCCTGAGAGAGGGAATTTACGAGATGCACATTGCTATTGACATATTAGACATGGCTTCATAATTCTATTAGACTGAGCACACATGGGAACCAAAGGGTTTGAGAAGCAAATGTCAGAATGTTGTGCCACTACAGACAATGTTTTCTCATGTACGACTGTGTTACCTGGAACAATTAAACTACAGGAAAGAGAGCTCTCAGACAAAAAGAAAAAGAGGGCAGATTAAACAAGTGAAGAAAAAATAATGCGACCATGGTCTCACATTTCTTGCACTAGCAAAGTGTAACCAAAGAGTACTTCTTTCCACCAGAGCAGTTATTGGCAATGAATGTAACCACAAATGTGATCTAATAGGTAGCCTCATCCTCCACCGAGCCTCACAGATTTATTTTTATCCACAGCTCTTCGTGCCTGCAAAAGATATCATACTTGAAGCGGTAATGTAAGTTGTCACTGAGAATGAACAGTCAGGTGCTCAGCAACTAGACACATTTGAAAGCACATTAGTCACATACTGTGTATTACAAGACACTCCCAGAACTTGTGTATGATATTATTGAGCACACCCTGAGTGTATCTGAGTGACAGAGAGGGGCAGGGGTGTAGTTTTTAACTTGCCGTCCTGTTTTGAGAAAACTATGCCCATCTAACAAACATCTATGAAACTCCTGAAAAATGTGTCCTTTGAGACATGTAAACTCTTGAGGACAAATCATTTGCCACAGGAAGAAAACTGTTTTTGTGCAAGGTGTACGGCCCTGTTACGATGCACTTCAGCCTCACACATGGTGCACTATGTTGATATGATCTAAAGCATGCTTGTTATGTTCCTAATGTGCTGCATGCTCTCTGACCTGCAATTGTACTAGTCCACAACAACTACCTTTGAACTGCTTTTCACTCACTTTCTCTTTGCTATGTAAGTACATTCAGCTGTATACTGTATATATATATATGATGCATTTTAATATTTAATAGTACATACAGGCATGTAGTTCAGAAGCTTGGATACTGTAAGAAAAGGTGGGAGGAAGGAAGATGCAGAAAAAGAGAGAGAGAGAAGAGGGACAGGAGCATTCTGGGAATCTGCTGCTGCTGTCTCCACAGTGGAACTGCCCTCAGTGTGTGGAGTTCACATTTTCCAACTTGACACTCCACCAGTTAGCTTTCATTAAAAAAAACACCTGCTACCCTGACAGGCTTTTATTTGATCTGACAGCGAAGCAGCCCTCCAGGAGCTCTTAAATCATCACTGTGGCACAGGCTGCGATGCAGCCTCAACCAATTACTCTCCCGGGTGCCAATCCATTCTACCAGCTGATAGAAGTGCCACAGGGGATTGGTGGTGGTCTGGGTGTGTGATAGTGTGTGTATGTAAGTCCAGAGGAGAAGAATTAGTGAAGAATAAAGAAAATATCATCCCGAAGTTTGTCTGTGCATTCTTTTAGTCTGTCCCTGGGGAATGTGCTCATTTTGCTAAAGCACAAACACTCAACCATTTATACTGCTATGAGCCCTTATTCCAATTTATTCAGCATTTTGTGCCTCTCCATCTATAGAGAAAAAAACATGTCTTACTAAACCATGGTTTTGTACTTAAGGTTCTTAAATCCATTTATCTTTGGAGTGTAAAATCTTTTTCTTTCTGTTCAGCATTTATACATATTTACGGGAAGGGAAGGTAAAGAAACTCATGAAGAAAAGTTAAACAGATGTTCACACTGATAATACTGATATGGGCCAAACAACAAAAATCCCTAATGTGAATATACTGTAGAATCACTTTTTTTATCCTGGATGCATTCACATCTTTGTAATAAAACTTGTGTTTTTGCACAAATACCACAACATCTGACTATATGCATATTAGAGACACAAGGTCAGATACAAGGGGTTAGATACTGTAGTCCAGTTGATTTGTTACCACCAAGTTGCCAGTATAGTCCTGGCTCAGGTGCAAACTTATTACTCACTGTGTGCCTCTTTAAGCACATTACCTCCATCGAGGTTAAAAAATAAATTTTGAATGAGAAGTGAAACAGTTATTGTTATAAGTAATTTTGCCACGAATTTCTGCATAATTCAACCTCTTGCCTTTATTAAAACTCTTTGGATAAAAGCATCTTTTAATGGTGAACAAGGTACAGTTCAGTTGGATTCCTATTCAGTCCAAGCATTTTGTTGTTAGTCTGCTTGCAGCAGAAGCATACTGCAATGTGTGCATAAAATGCAGAAACTGCAACACATTTTCTTCACAAAGTGCAATTCATTACAATACCTACGACAAATACTTAAACCCCCATTTCAAACAACTGGTATTATTTGTGTCACATTGCTTGTATGTCAAATTTATTAGTTTTGTTTTTAGATAGATGTTATACACCCTTAAACAACCACAGCGTTATTTCTCCAAACTATTGTCAGGGAAGAGCACAGAGAAAGATAATTGATGAACAAGACAAAACGGTGACGTCAATATCCACTCAGTGTGTGTGTGGAGGATGTAATGGGTACACTTGTGTGATCTCCATGTTTGCTTATTATAGCTTTTAATTACTTCATCAACTTGTTCCCCTTTGTGTCACCACTGCACATAAAGCTAAAGTGGCAGAGGGGAGCATTACAACTAATACTAATAGAAGTCTCCACGGCCGAAATGTTACGTTTTCTTTCTTCTTTTTTTTCAGCACAGAATAAACCTTTTACTTGTTCCTTTGCAGCCTACGCAAGCTGACGCAGCTTCCCACCTGAACGAATATATTTTATTATGTCCTCTCCTTTCAAACACAGATTTTTTTTCATTTCTGCAATGACAACATGAAGCTCTTGCAGGCTTTTATGGCAATCCAATAATGAGAAGTAATTCTATTCTAAAAGCTTTTTTTTCAACAGAATAGTAGGTTATCATGGCAAATATTAACCTAAAGAGAAACAACCAAAGGACACAGTCCACCACAAAGGCATAACATTTTAAAAATTGTTATGCATTAAGGAGCTGTCTATTTCACCCACTGACCATTTGCTATAAGTGGTCATGAAATGATTGATGTGAGGAGAGGTTTTTTTTAGCAGATCTGAACAATAAGTGAAGCCATCGAAATGGTGGTCTTGATTCACAAGGGCTCTGAGAATACCAGACAGATAAATAGCTTTCAATGGCCGCTGACCCTGAGCAGAAGACCCCTTGTAACCCTCATGCTGAATGGATTTGCTTTCCATTGCCCTTTCTTTATGGCGTGAGATCAAAAGTGACCTTTTTGTCCAAGGCTGGCAAGGGAGCTGTGAAGCACAAACAGGCAATTTTCTGTGCCTTTGTCACTGCAAATATAAGAGCTCTCTTTCACAGCGGTATTCATATAGATTTTTCGTTCCTTTTGAGTGGGCTTAATGCATAATTCCGCTTTTTGGAACTTTAAAAGCAATGCATCCACTTATATAGGCCTTAAAGCTTTTTGTAAAATGGGTTTGATTTCAACAACAATGCTGCTGCTATCGACAACAGCCACAATAATAATAACAGAATACTGCAAATGTGTGCTGTAAGCAATGATTCTGATGGTCTGGAAAATAAAAACACAACAGACAACGTATATGAAAATTCTATTTTGTGAGACGTTTTTAAATTGCTTATTTTATCACCATAACAACGTTATAGCCCTGATGTCATTCAGTCCCAACAGAGGCATTCCTTACTTGTAACTGTTTCCTGAAGTTATTTTACTAAAGCCTGTGTTACAGGTACCTGCCCTACAACATACCAGACCAGTTTCAGTGACCATTTTGCACAGACTTTGACTATGGAAATTTATGTTAACAAAAGAACATAGCTTGAAGCTATCCTGAAGAAAATTTTAAAACAATCACATGATGTAAGTGATTTACCACATAATTGTTTTTTTTAGTGAGTTATCTAGCCACAAGCCAAATAAATGTAAATATAAACAGAAATCCCTGTATATTATCACTGGAAAAATTGCACAAATCTGTCTATAAACTTCTGATGTAACCACACTATTAAAACAAAGATATAACACTCTGCACATAGTATTATGACTTTTTACCACTAAAAACCATTTAGTGAACACAATTTAAGTTCAAAGAGTTTGATTGCTGCACTACAGCTATGACTGAAGCTGTCTCCTTTCAGCATCACCAAGTTTACCTGTGTTTGGGACCACTAGACGACCGCCCAGATGCCCGAATATGCCCACAGTTCTGAGTTCAGGTTTGGAGGGCACAGCGGAGAGGTTGGGGGTCAGCAGATTTTTTTTCCGCCCATCCACTGTGTTGTAGTCTCTGTTGAGCCCCCTGGGGAAGGTCTCAGGATGGGCCTTGACATGGTACTCCGCCCGGTCTGCCACACCTAGCGACACCATGAACGAACTCTGAACTTTCACCTTGATGTCAGGCAAGGGGTCAAACAGAGAGGACTCCGTCATCAGCTCCTTATCCATGGGGTCTTGAAAGCAGATAGGTCCACTGTATGTTCGACTGACTGTGAGGTCTGGTTGCATAGAGGAATTCAAAAGCAGAGGATTGCCTGGAAGAGAGATAGATCACAGGCTTATGATCTAAAAAAAAAGCAAGCTGGAGTCTGACTTTGGTCACGACTTGTGGACAAACGTCAATGGAAAAACACAAATTTTGTTTTAAATTTGGTTCCATCTACTTTGATTTCTTTGTTCAAATCACATTTCATGAGACTGTTAGAAATCTAGTATAATCAAATTCAGGGCTGGTGGAGAGCCAGAACCTGTCTGATCTTAAAGATCTTTTTAAAGTATCTGTTTAAAGAAAACTGATATGTGTGAATACAATGCCAATTGATTACATTATTTACTTTTATCTGAGTTGCACACTGCTGTCTTTGGGAAAGCAGTCCTCCTACTGCCTTTCTGTACTTTTTTTGTTGATGACAACATTTACTATTCGTGTTCTTGATATCCGTCTTTCTCTCTTGTATATTTTGGAATATTTTCTCCGGTAAGAAAGCAGCAATTGTCAGTGAAAAGGAGATGTATATGAAAGTAAAAGAAGGTAATAATCAAAACACAATACCCGTTGGACCCGTTGAATAATAAGAGAGATCCTTAAAAACAAAAATAATACAAAAAAAAAATGTTTGACACAAATGCAATTCCATTTATGTGAGTTGAGCTAAGGTCACCGCAGCCACATGCCTTGGGTGTAGTGACTGATCTAAAAAAACAAGAGAAGAAAAGCCTGAAGAACACTGTTTACTTCTCAGTAGCCACTAGGGTTACAGCAATTGGGATTCAGTGACCTTTTGGTGATTGAAGGGCTCACTGGAGCCGGTTCTGGCGGCAACCCAAACAGGACAGGGTGTCCTAGTTTCAGCTGTCACACCCTGAGAGTTGTCACAATTCAGTAGCGCTACACACTGTGCAGCCTGACAGTACTGAAGTCCGGTACCCCAGGACAGCTCTCATAAGAAAAGGGCTTGAGTCACGGGTTCTGTGTTGTCTGGCTGTGGCGCACTGAGACAATGGAGACAGGGGGCTAATGGGATCGGAGGGGCCTAGCTGCTACTTGTTTTCAGTGAAAATATTAAGAGTTGGCTGAACGTGTTGCCATAAGTTTAAAAAAAATATTTGTATATCTGAAGAAGACAGGAGAACATATGAAATAAAAAGCAAATTCTGGCAACAAGCATAAAATACAGTACTTACTGATGAGAAAATGAAGATTCTTAATAAGACCCCACCAGTAAATAAGGGGGAAAAAATCCTTTTTTTAGGACTTGAACAAGCAGCTAGAAAAATGTATCATGGATCATAAAGACAACAGGAAAAATAAAAAACAGTGATGAAACAATAAGACCAAAGTAGTAATAACAATAAGCAATGTCAAATGATTCAAGATCAACCAGGATTCTAAGCCTACCCATAGAACTGCTTTGTCACAAGGAAATAATAACTAATCCAACTGAGAGCATTACCAGAAATGAAACATGACAAAAGTGGATTTAGTGGCTCTAGTATTGAAAATGGCACTAAGATCCAGTGGAACTAGAGCAGAGGGTCATGTCTGAAGTCATCAAAATCTAAAAACCTTGGAAAGAACTATTTCAGTGCTGCAGAACAGTCTTTAGCCTGACTGAAGAAGTTTACAAAGTTTAACAGGGGGTGGTTATTTAATTTTTGCATGACAATATATTCAGGTAGGTGTGAAATAGACCCATAATGTCATTATTGATTTGGGTAGATTTTGAGTACTACTTACAGTAGTATTAAACAGCAATTGCAAGTACTATATGATCAACACCTGAGGTACATTTTTGTTTGTAGGTACAAAACAAGTACAAATAAGCACAGTTGTACTGATTGGAGAACAGCTATGTCTGATGCTACTCATTCCAGCTTAACTTTTACAGTAACAACCCAATTGAACAAATTATTGGCTTAATGAAACATCGGAAAAGCTTTTCCCAGCTCGTGAGGTGCTGTTGATTTAAAGAGATCCATAAAACCTGCTAGCCTGCTGTACTCCAAGACTGGTCCTGGGCCCACCTTCTCCACAGCAGTCAAAGAAAAAACACATAAAATACTTTGGTGGAACTTTTTTCCTGGTAAAAAAAATCTGACATTTTAAAATGAAAGGTGAAAATTAAAATACCAGATTGAAAAAAAAGTTAATTGAATGAATCCAATGTGAGTTGCCTTGAGGGTAGGCTAGGAGTTAGACTTTTGATTAAAAATCACTCACACATACCAATTTCAGAAGCACCGCTAATTCAGACAGACAAGGGAAGAGTCTTAAGCATGATTTACTGTCTTGGCTTTTGACCTTTCTGGAAGACTGAAGTACAGCCAAAAACATTTAAGACAATTACGCTGCATGATTTACTGCTGATGTTCCACTTTACAGCAGGAGAAAGTGTAACGATGTTCTTTGTAGTCTTGAGACTTTTTGGGCCCTGAAATATTAAAATAGCATCAACTAACTTGAAAATATTTTCTGATGTTATTTTGTTAAATCAAAAGTCTAAAGCTTTACTCCGCAAATGTACATTTCTAGAAAAACATTGTTTTAAAATATACAAATATAAAAATTCATGAAGGTTAAGAACACCCAAGAGATTAGAATTGTGCTAATCAAACAACAACTCATAAATTGATCCTGTGAGAAAGAAATGTGAAAAATATGAAAGTTTTCAGTTCCTCTGTAAAGCCATGTTCCCAAACATCCTGATGCACATTTATCCAACTTCAAACACTAATTACACATCCTTTTGTACCTTCAAATTAAAACATACATTTGTACTGTACAGTATATTCCGTTTCCGTATCAGAGAGTATTCTCCGATATGCTCTTGTAATTTGCACCTTTTGTATTTATTTATTATTTACCTACTTTTCTTTATCCTGAGCTGATGTTACAATGATTCATTTTAAATAAACAAATTGAAAATGTATTTCTGAGCCTTGCACACACGTTTCTACAACGAAAAAATAAATAATTTAAAATATAATTTACATATGGTTTAAATTAAATATAGTTACTTTATGATATAAATACCTTTATAATTACTTTACCTAAATACCTGAAATACTGTAAGAATCAGCAAATAAGGAGAGAAGTACTGGATTTAGGTGCTACACACACAATTCACCATTCAAAACAATGCTTAAAACAAAAAGCATTGTACACATTTGAATTCATGTGCAAATTCTCTTTTAGTGACTTGAAGAAGAGTTGTTATATGTTAGAGCAGAAATTACATTAGACAATGACAACAAATGATCAAATACACACACAACTCCCAACACACAGTATATAACTGCATATCTAATGTACAGTTCAATGCAAATACGGTAGACGTACTTTTTTTCAATACACTCTTGAGAAAAGAACCCAAGTAATGAATCAAGTAAATATTTTTACAATTATGTTTTGGCAATTATGTACAATTTAATTTACAATACAACAGTGCTTTTTCAGTGCCTTTTACCTGCAACGTGTGTGCCTTGCAAACAGTGAGAGCAGTTTGAGTTAAACACTAACATTTCTGTTGAATAGTTTGGTCTTTGCAGCAGTGTAGTGGAATGAAAATGCTGATTCATTTCAGCAGGGAAACTACAAACAGCTAGTGCAAGTAGATACAAAAGTTGGCCTATTTAGCAGAATTGATGGCAACACAAATAATCCCTGTCTCCAATGGTCCTGCTGTTAGGTTTATAAAGGGGAGTGTGAATGCAGTCCTAAGCCTTGGGAGGAGAAAATGAGAGACTCTCTGCAGCTTTTGCATTCAGAGCACTGTCAGAAACAGAGAGTGTTTTATTATCCTCTGCAGTGATGACAATCACTTTTGTTAACCCAGAACTGTCAGGTAAGGAAATCAACCCAGGACCCTAGGACAAGTGCCTGGCTAGACTGAGTTAAATAACAGTTATTCTAGAAAAAAAAGCTTAAAAATCCCACACAGTACTGAGCATTTTTAAGAGAAAAAGTTATCTGTAATATTTTAGTTTCCTGGGTTAAAATACTGGATTAAAGGACACAAGAGCAGGAGAAACCATCTAGCCTGTTTGGTAGCTAATTGATCTGAGGATGTCATCCAGCTGTTTCTTGAAAGACACCAGAGTGTCCAGAAACACTTTGAAAAGAGCAGGTCACCTTCCAAAGGATTAAACTTTGCATTGCTTCGTTTCCCCTAAATCTCTCAAGTCTGGAACTTGAGAATTTTGTTTTGCCTGTGTCTCATTCTGTCCATATATTATAATTAAATATGTATTGTGCCACTGAATAATCTACTACACAATGATAATTACAACTGTAAAATATAGAGCACTCAAAGTCCCCACTTAGTTTAGATAGGCATTGAAGTTGACTAAAGGTATCATATTCTAACGAGCATGGTTGAAATAAGGGCAATGATAGATT